AACTATTTACATATATTTTAATAAATCCCATGTGTAGAATTGGTTATCACAGTCACAAAAACCATAGACTCTGTGGTTCTTGGATGTAAAAATACAGATGGACCCTAATCTCAGCACGAATACTGCTTGGAGCCTAACTCAAATACAAATCATGTTTTACTGAGGTCCACAAGGTGCAACCACAGTGGCAATTTGACCATTATATTCCAAGTCAGTGTATACTTTATATCCTCTGGCATCTCTAAAGTAACGATGGTGGATGCCACGGGGGGTAATGAACAGGGGATAGATACATATACATGGTTCAATGCTTTCCGTTTAAAGCATCGACTCCTGCCACTGTTGGAGCCAGGATATTAGGCTACTTGGACCACTGATCTCACCCAATATGTTCTTAAGTTCTGTGGAACATTTCCCATTAGCAATCTACAACAGTGACATTTTCCGGTTGTAAATGTCGACATATATAATGAAATTATAAAGGGTCGGGTTCTAGGTGCTTTGACTGTGACAGTTTACCTGGATTCTGTAAAGCATTCCTACTATATAGAATAGCACCTCAGTCCAGACTTAAACTCCACTGACAAGTGCATGCTTACACGCTGATTTGAATCAGGATCTTCCTTCTCATTTGTTTAATGTGAGTACTGGAGGATAGACATTTAAGCTTCTAGGTGCTAACTAACTTGTCTAAGGATATTTTAAATGCAGTATATTTTATTATGGAAGTTACTAATAAAGTATTTTCTTTATGAGTGTGGCTTTGCCAATATTTATACCTGTATTATTTTATTATTTATATTTATGGGGTGGACACCTTTTCGTCTAGCTACAAGAACTCTCCCATAATTTGAAAAATATTACAGCCTTTAAAAAATTGCTTAAGAACTGTGATACATACTAAGCAATCTGTTACCAACTCAAGCTTTAAAACAAAACAAAAATTCCAAACATTTTATTTGCAACTTCCTTACTATCAATTTTTGTGACATTGTAAGATGCATATTTAAAGCAAAACTTTCATAAAGATCTCTCAATTCACATGTGAGCCAGTATGAAGCAATCATGTAAGTAGCAACCTCACTGCAGAAAAATATGTTCTTATACATTTAATTCCGTAGGAGGCAACAGCTGCTGAGGCTGGAATACAGAATCCAGCTCCCTGCCCCACCTCCCCATCCTTTCCCCCGTGGCCAGCACGTCCAGAACAGAGCCCATGGTGTGGGGAGGATGTAAACTGTCTGTTTCAGGCTCCAAGCTCCCCATCCTGCTGCCCTTCCTCTGGCCCTCTACAGCCCAGCAGGTGGGACCTGGTGCAGGAAAGAGTGCCACACCACCATGGCCACCAAGCCCCTGAGGCTCCCTCTGCCCACCTGGCAACAGTGGAGGCACAACTCTGTGCTGCCACCACTGCCACACCTCACTTTGGCAGCCCTGGTGGCACAATGATCCCTCCTGTGCTGGGTCCCGCTCACTGGGCTGTGGAGTTGGTTCCTACCCAGAGCTAGTCTGGCCACACTGCCATTCCGTACCCCAATGTGGGAGCAGAAATCTCAGGAGGGCACATATCCCCCCCACCACATCACCACAACCCCTCTGCTGATGTTGCACCTCTATTTGGGGTTGCAACCCACAGTTTGGGAACTGCTGACCTAAAAGAAAGATTTACTTCTAGGCACTGTAAAAACTTGTAGAAAAACTGTGTTACCCTTAAAGAAAGTACAATCTTATTAAGAAGAAATGTAGTCTGATTAAAGTATCTCCTTTTCTCACTTATTTTTGGGCAAATTTTTGGAAAAGAGCTTTAGGTTTTTATACATTTTTTGCATGATGTTCTAAATCAATGAACTGCACATACTCCTGGATAGTTAATGGCACTGCTGCTGATCTGTCTTTCATTAACTGTCAAACAAGTGCCACTGCACTGTGAAACTCATGGGGAGCATCACAAACCAATGCTCAGACAAATACAGAACTTATTTTCAGCTTCAAACTACATACTCTCTCTGCACCAGTTCCCTTTTTCAAACAAACTTTTAATACGAAATATTTTCGTTTCAAACAAAAAGGTATTAACATACATACACGAACTGCTTCATAATGCTCATAATAGATCAAAAATGTGTATTTATCATTCAGACTGCATCAGTCACCACTGCTTTGCCTCACACAAACAGATCATTGAAAGGCCAAGAAAACAGGAAAGAAAAGAATCATATATTATTTCTATATTTAATTTCCTTTATCTTCAAGTTCACAGTAACTGAACATGAATAAAATCACTTTATAAAAATCAAGATTCTAAAATTCTGCAACATCTTTCAAGAAAACAACCACTTCCATTGCAGCAGGTTCAAACAATCTGCCCCCTAAGTCTGGCTGGTTCATTTTAAAGTTGTCAAATCTGTGAAAAGAGTTGGAGGTTTTTTCCATCTAGTGGATCACTGATGCTATTACTGTCTTATTTTCATATGGCATATCAAATGCACCAAGAACATTCTGTGTTCTATAAACTAATTTTCAGAATAAAATGGGTCAATGGGAACTTAAAGTATGTGATAAAAAAAAAACCTCTGTAGAGGTGAGAGTGAGAACCCTAGGACATACATTGGGCTACAAAGGGGTCTGTTCATCTTAGAGCCCTAGAATTCACCAGACAACACAATATGCCCTATTACAGATGTGAAGAGAGCTACACGGTCATAGCATATCTTACGCCACTTTGGATAAACCCTATTGAACAGCCATTTAAAGAGAGAAGAGTCTGGCAAAGATATGTGGTTGTAGGGAGATACATAGTGATAACACAGCAAAGTATAAAGGTTTCATTAGTCTAGGTGTGGAACTGCCACATTTCTCAGAAGCAGCAAAATCACAAGTGAATTATTCAAATTATTCCCAAATAAGTGCCAATTAAATGCATACCATGCTAGTCGAACATAAATTTGTTTACACTACATTATGAAGCAAACCAAAATCTGAGAGTGTTTTAAAAAATGCTGGCATGGGTTGTTACTATTTCATGTACTTGGGACCTGTTTAGCCAGCCTGGGAGTATTTATCTTGCTTGATTATTGGGTACATGGGAACTCTGCAAACTTCTCAGACCTGCAGCCACTAAAGCCAATTGCTACCCAAAGGCAGAAATATTATTTTCATCTGTCAACAACCATAACATTTTTATTTAATTGCTGATCCTCCATTCACTTCCGCACACTGGCTGGTTCCGTTTTGCTGGTTGGATTTATTTGCTGCTGAGAAGCAGAGTTTCAGCCTACATGGCACACTGCACTAAAGCAGCTGCACTGTTTTCAGATCCAGAGTGAGCACGTGCAGAGGTAGCTCACTATAGCTCTGCATTGTAGTGCCTCATGCTGCATAAACATTTTTTTGGTGGCACACAGGAGACAAAGCATTCTTTTGTGTGAGTACATGAACTTTCTGCCAGATGTGTACCTTTCTCCTACAGCAAGGATGTTGGAATGCCAGTCTGGAGCTGAGATTTCACAAGCAGGGCCAGCAGAGACAGGGTCAACTGCCAAGGAGCTCTGTTGATTGCGTGTGTTGGCAGCAGAGGGATAAAAAAGGCTGTATTAACTGGCACATCTCTCTGATGCTGCTCGTGCTGTCCCTGCCACTGCTCACCACACCTCTGGG